TTTTCACACCTTCCACCGTCTGTCGAATGTTTGTTGTTGCTGTGCTGCTAACGAGAGGCAGCCGATAAAGATATCAGTTTCATATGGCACCTGCTTTTGGTATATGTTTACTCTACATCTACCATACGATATATTGATCCAATGCGATATATGCAGACGATGGACGACGATGTTCTTTATTCTTAGGTTCTCAGCCCTTCTTCTTGGGCTCTGAGGTCTTAGTAGCATTTGACACTTTCGAAAAATTCGTTAGCAGTGATTTGCATAATTTCACAGTAAATTCCTAATTCTAATCTATGCCGGCAGTTGAAGTATCAACTCCCCAACTCCCAGACCCAATAGAACAGATCCGTATAGAACTGAGACGAACGACAAGCTCGCCTGTCTATGTATATTTATGTTTGATACTTAATCGCTAATAAATACACGTTCGTATTTCAAAAACACACACACACGCACACACACACAGATGAATTTAAATAAATTTGAAAGGGCCCCAAAAGTCGCAGCTGAAGAGCAGCGCTACGAATAGTTATTCAGCTGCTGTGCGACTCCTGTGGCGTTTGTTTGTTCGAAATCAAAACATTTCTCACTCTCTACCAGCTCATATATTATATGAATTTTGAATTTTTTTTTTTTCACACAGACAAAGCTTAAAAATATTTTTCACACCTATCAATCGATTATAAATGGGCTGCACGATTATTAACTCGAGAAGGCGCTGGAGGAAACGCCTCTGTCTTGAATACGCTTGACAACCTAATCGAAACCTAATTAATTCATACGAAAAGCTAACTGGGGGAGATTTATATCTATATAAATACATATAAAATTATATATTTATCAATGTTTAATGATCGTTAATAATAATATACATAATAAGAATATATAGATGCTGTTATAGCATTATTTATTAACTAAATACTATCTATTATGAAAGATCGCATCGCATGTAAAAAAGCATTCCAAGAATGACTCAATTTCCTTTAGTTTTATATTGTTTATATAAATTCAATTCTTCATTGAATATTTTTTTTCAAGAAATGCCATATGTCAGTAGGGCTACCAAAGTTAAGTCCCTTCAAGAATCCAAAGTACATTCACATCAAAGATGATATATTTCTATATAGTTGTCTGTAAATTGAATTGAACATATTGATTTTGCAAATATAATCATCACTCAATAGAAAATAAATTTTAAATCAAGTGGCATTTGACTCTAAACAAGTAAGATGTTGTCATCCGTTTCGACTCGTATTTCTCATGTTTAATTTATACTTTTTCTATTTTCTTTTCGAATGTATACCCAATTAGAATTTCTAATTTCTAGAATGTGTTTGCTGATTTTCACTAATTAATAATAAATAAAGCTAGACGCAAGAGACCTTCTGGTTTTAACAGTAGTCGCTTTTGCTATCCGCCTCTGCTATGCCGGCCCTTTGGTATTATTGATATATTAGTATTCAAGCCCTTAGGAAGAACACAGCGAGATGTATATATTTTGTTATTTGGTGGTTCGCATCTCGTCTGGTGAAGTAAATCTACAGCTGCAAGTGAGACTGATATTTGAGTTGTGTATGAAGTGGATGATGAACTGAATCTAATTGAATATTTTCCCTGTATATAGCCTCGCTATGTCTTATGCTTCTCCAGGAGAGCTCAGATGTTATTAATAAAGCGTCTATTTAATCGAGCTGTCAAGGTCACTTACCTTTCAAGAGAATACCAATGGAGCACTTTGAAGGACCAACTGATTCTTCAGCAGAAATCGATCCTATATTCTGCAAGTCGAAGTTAAAAATCAAATATGTTAAACAATGGTGATTAAAATAAAAATTATATTGAATCAAAAGACTCTTCTGCTGGCTAAATATTTTCTTATTCGAAATCTGCTTCACACAAATTTGTATTCATTATTCAAGCTTTTCATTTGCAGCATTGTTGGATTTTATCTATTTATCAATCTATAGTTTAATTCATATTTTATGTATATTTAATTTGTTTGAATTCATTTTCAGTTAAAACGTGATCAAATGCCGTTACATTATGTAGATCATACATTTTGCCTCCCAGCTGAGAGAGACTTGACATCTTTGAGTAATATTTCAGTTTCAACTTCAACTTCCACTTCAGCTTCTTCTTCTTCTTCTTCTTCTTCTTTAGTTTATCGGTTTCTCAAAGACCACGCCCTCAACATCAACATCAATGGCAGCGGCCCATTCGTTAGTTGGAACTTAAATTCCAATTGGAATAAATAGATATATTCACAGCAATTTATGTATCTTAATTGTGGCCCAAAGCGAGCCAAGTGTGAATGAATGGGAGAACCTTTTGCTTAACTGCAGTCGATTGTCCACTCACAGAAAGCCACTGACGGCGTGAGGAAGCCGGCGTGTGTGTGAGTGAGAGGAAGGGGGGCGAGGTAGAAACTGTCTAAAATGCACTCGTATTTCATCAATGAATTGAGCTGAAGCTGCGGCTGGAGTTGGGGCTTGGGCTGAGAGTTGGGCTGGGGCCTTTCTCACGATCTGCTCGGCTACTTTAAACACTTGCTTTATATTGATATTTATGGCTGATAATTTCAGTTCATTTGAGTTGGTTTTCAGTTCATGCCGGAGTGGATCTCGTCGTTTATCAACCTCTAACTAAGTGAAAGGTGACCTCTCAGCTATCAAATGAGAAAGTTTGACAAATTAACTATGCAAATGTTCGCCAGTTGCAGGTGGAATTTCCAAATAGTTTTCATTTAGAATTTGAAATTAGGAAAACTCATCATCATCAATGGTATACATTTTTAGGAAAATTCCCAGGGTATATGGAAAATTCCCAGTAGATTCTCGATTTTTATAGCTGTTTAATATTATATGCATATTTGTAATATATCTATGTATATCTTCTACATTCAAATTACAGGGCATCTGCTAGTTGTTCACATTTGCTACAAAGATTCTACTTGCTTATAAATAGTTTTATGACTTACAATATTTAATTCTTAAGAGTGTGTTAGCTATTTTCAAGTTACAGGGTATCTCGATTTACATCTTCCTTATGAAAATTTCCTCTGATCATTTTTGAGCTACCTTTTTGAGAAAAGCAGGGTATCTGTTAGTTGGATACTTTGCTACCCAATTGGACTTTGCATAAGTTTTTTCAATGTCTCGTCCATTGACATTTGCATCTAAAAGTGTGCCAGCTTTTGGCTACAGGGTGTCTGCTAATCAGTCAACTTGACTGCCGCCTAATTGCGATTTCCTGTCGAAATACCAATTTTCTAGCCATATAATTCTGTTAGTTGTCGCTAAGTCGAGCTTGTTAACATTTTTATTGGCCTCTTAGGGGCATATTTTACAAATCTCAGACTAAAATATTCTTTATGGCTCTCGTTTACGTCTGCTTCTCTTTCTCTTTGCATCTTCTTTCTCTATTGATAAATATTTTGAAGAACTTTACGAGCTGCGTATTTTGCCAAAGCTGTCCGACTGTCAACGGCATTAACTTCACGCCGGCCTCCCAATCCGGCTCCGTTCTTATTGGACTGTGTTGGCAGCTCTGACAAGCGATGCTAATATTTGGCCCAATAAATTAGTCGCTGTTTAGCATTTGGCTGGCATTATGCAAAGCTAGTTCTCATAGATAGTTAGCAAGCTGCTCAATCATCGATTGATGATTCGCATTTCTCATAATTTGATTTAATCGCCGCTCTTCAAGCTGATCTCCACAATCTGCTCAAAATCGGAGCTTTGGTAATCTAAGTGATTGATAGATGGAAAGTTGCGTTTGCAATTTCGAGTTATGCAAAACTCTCGAGTTCTTTGGACTAAATGCTGATAAAAGATTGCTTAAATATACTTCAACTCAAAGATTTTATTCTTATAAGCTACTTTTTCAGATTATTTACTGGTTCAGGATAGAACGCGCTGAATTTAGCTTAGTTCTCGAAGTGAAACTAGTTCAATTAAAAAAGTAATTAGCTGGAGCTGGAACTGACTTGGGAAACAGCGCAACTTACTTGAGCTGGAGCTAGAAGTAGTTCCATTATACAATCTTCTTACTCATACCAAATGCTGTAATTAATTAGAGCATTGATGATAAAAGTAAATAAATTAATCAAAAACTAAATGAATCTGTTCAATTTCTCACGATGTTAAAGTTCACACCAAAGCCGCAAAAAATAGGATAATGCTGGAAGTGGAACTAGTTCCACAATATATGTAGTTTGTTAACTCAGCTTGCTTATCCCATATTAACACACCCCATTAGCTGTAGCTATCGACATGGACTGAAACTAGTTCAAATTTGCCGCGATTATATATCATATTACGGCATTGGGTAAGTCCCCGTCGATTGAACGTAAACTAGAAATTGAACTAGAACTGGTATTTCACCAGCTTTACATTTAAGCTACCTGCGAATACATTTAAATAGATTACGTATGTCTTTAATGGGCAGTTGCGAGATCTATTTGAATAGTTGCAATGCCGGACTTTCTTTCGCTAAAATTTGAGATCAACATTCGAAAATGAACCAACAACAATTGCCAAATAATTCGCGAATCCAAAACAGAAACAAAAATAAACGTGAGCATAAAAAACAAAAAAAAACTTTAAAAAAGAAGACAATCCAATCAAATTTCAAATGTAAAATAATAATGAGGGAGATTTGGAACAAAGGCTGATCGATAAATTAGTCAACTATTTGGTAACGGTTTTAATTGTCAACGTGTGGCACAAACACACAGACGCACACCCGGCACACTCGAATCAAGTTTTTGGTTTTTATCTAGACTCATCTTTTGTAGAGTCTATTGACTTAGAGAGCAAGACAATAGTCCTGATTTTTATTGTTCAACAGCAGCCGCAAAAAACTATGCACAAATATATATATTTATATACAAACACCAGATATCAGAAAGCAAAAAATAAAAAATAAAAATAAAAAAAAAACCATAACAATAACAATAAATAATACAAAGGCTTGTCATAAAATTTATTATATTTTACCGATAGATTTCTTGTTTCTTTGTTGTTGCCGTTGGACTTGGACTCGAGTGCCCCTCAGTGCTGACGTCTTTCTATCAATTCAGCTAGACCTAGTCTTCGTCGTTCTGGCCAGTTTTGTTAGGTGTTTTGCTACAACAAAACAGAATTTTAGCGAAAAAAAGATATAAAAAAATTAAATTTATTTAAACTATTCAATTCATTAAAATTGCATACAAATCTTTTTGATGTTAATGAGTCAGGGAGAGATAGACAGATAGACGAGGAGGATGAAAGAGAAAGGGGAGGAAAGAAAGGTCAGGTCGTTGAACCTGCATATTGCTCGGTCGAAGTGTCTATTTTTATCCTTTATCCTCTATTGTCTATGCATCTGTTCTTTATCCTTTATACTCTATTATCTGTGTATGCTTATTCTCTATCATCTGTCCTTTAGCCTTTACTCCCTACTAACTATCTTCTATCCTTTATCCTCTATACGCCATCCTCTATTTTCTATTCTCTATCCTTTATCCTATATCCTGTATCCTCTCTCCACTATACTGTATTGTCTTCCTTTATTCTCTTTCCTCATCATCTATTCTCTCTTTTGAGTCTGCTATCCACTAACCTCTCTACCTCTACCTCTACCTCTACCTCTACCTCTACCTCTACCTCTACCTCTACCTCTACCTCTACCTCTACCTCTACCTCTACCCTCTACCTCTACCTCTACCTCTACCTCTACCTCTACCTCTACCTCTACTTCTACCTCTACCTCTACCTCTACCTCTACCTCTACCTCTACCTCTACCACCTCTATCTTATCACTTATTCTGTATATTGTATTATCCTTCTATTTCGCTCTCTCTCTCTCTCTCCCTTGCATTTAATTCAATTTAGCATTACATTAACAAATTGTATTTGCAACACAATCTAAGACAATCTCTGCTTAGCTTAAGCCTATTTCGCCTTTTTTCTTTAGTTTTTTTTTTAAATATATTTAATTTATTTTTAATTTTCAGGCGTTAAATTCAATTTACAAAAAAGTGGCACAAGCCGCCGGTGCCGGTGCCGGTGCCTCTGCTGGGGCAAAGCCGCAGCGCGTCCAATTGGCATGCGGACAGTGCCAAATCCTCACATGGCTTCCATATGCTGTTGTTCTCTCTCAATTAGAGGTAGACGAAATGCACTTAAGGAAGATGTTGCTGCAGTTGTGGTTAGTATAATTAGCCGGCGTTGCGCGGTCACAGTCGATCTGTAGTATTAGCTGAGGTTAGCTACCAATTACGAACTGAGAAACCAGCTTTTAGAACTTAGAAAAAACGCATAAAAATAAAAACTTCAATTCTATTCTACATAAAAGCTTTCAGATCGTAATTTTATGCAACTTTTTTATAAATAAACTTTATAAGAGAAACTATCTCTCAACAATCTTCATAGAATTCTGCACTACGGCTCGAGTTTGCCTTTAGCTAAGTTTCTAATGTTCCGGGTCTTAAAATTCTTTGCTTTATACTATCAAAGACTAATAACCCAAGTATTTCAGTTGACGTGCTATAGATAATTTCAACATATTTCTGTAGCAACTGGCCAATACATATTTGATTTTCTTTTTTCTGTTTTTCATTTTCTGCTCTGAGCATCTCTAAAAGCAGAAAAGCTTCTTTAGACGAATGCTGCTTCAATTGCAGGCAGCAGGCAACGGGCAACGGGCATCAGGCAACAGTGTTGCAGCTACGGGCTTGTCGCTTGGCCGGCAAATTAACGCTTGATTAAGAACCAATCGGGACGGGCAAGCACTTAGCCAGACAGAGGAGCACTGTGACTGTGACTGTGACTGTGACTCGTAGGGGTTAACGGGTAGCGGATGGAGGGGGGCCCACGAGTAGGGGTACTCGTAGTTCTGGTTCTGTTCTCTGCCAATTGGCCAACTGCCTGATGAAACGAATGTCCCACCGTCCAGCTGTCTGTTTGTCTGTCCGTCTCGTCTGTCCTGGCTCGACTCGGCTGGCTCCCTCTGTCTGTGGCACTTTGGCGAAAATGTGTTGCTAATTGTTGCACTAAACTGTTGTTGGCATGCGTTTGACAGTCGGTCCAACTGATGGCCATCAAATTGGCACCAGCTACCAACTGCCAACAGCCAACAACCAACAGCCAGAAGGCAGCCGCTTTAGACCACTCGAACGCAACAACCTGACCAAATTGTTGGTCATTTGTTGCCTTCCCTCATATATGTCTATATATAAGTATATATAGCTGTGTATACATGCATACATACATATGTACGCCAGTTGGGCACTATTGCAATTTGATCTTGTCTCAAAGCTGAGCTGTATTAGCTGATCTCTAGCTGCAATTTGGTTTGCTTTGGATTTAGCTATGCCTAAGCTATGTCATATGCTAGGCTCTGTTTGCTTGCAATTTGCGACTGCTTATATGTAGTATCATTATCATTGATAGCAAATGTTGAGCACTTGTAGCTTGTTTAAAATTTAATTTGTATTAACTTGTCCTTTGGGAAGAGTGTGACTGCTGGCTTTGACAAGCAGATGATGTAATAATATGCATGGAAAGCGATGTCAACAAGTCATCGATTCAATTAGTAGAATCGATTCATTTGTATATCCAATAACTGCGTGAAGGCCTTTGTGACTGCTGCATTAAACTAAATTATTATTTAGAATTAATTCTTTGACGATTAAATAAATAAATATTTTCAATGTAGTTCCAAGTTCGCTCTCTGTCACTTTCGCTCTTCCTATCTATAGTTTTACTATATTTTCCATACCAGCTTCATTTCTAAAATCTACAATCCTCAAATTCATCTATCTCTCTCATATCTTATATTTCTTCCCATATCAATCATATCTTACTATATCTCTTATATCTCCACTATCAACCATTTTTTGCATATATCTTGAATTGTTTTCTTATTTTCCATACACTCATAGTCTCTCCCAAGTCTCTCACGCCTTCCAAGTCTACATATTGTTTTATATTTCCTATATCTCCTCTATTCTCCATCACTACCTCTAATCTTTATGTCTTCCATGTTTCCTATATCTCTAATATTGCTTATTTCCAGATTTTCGCCAATCTATACAAAAATTCCTCTAGTTCCTCTATTATTCACCCGTATACCTCTACCCACAATTTCTCCTCACCTATTATTGTCAACGCCTAACCAAATGAAACTTTTGAAAAAATCTAAAGCAAGAGTATCTTCAATTCGGCTCGTCGAAAAAAATCTTTTCCTTTCTCTTGTTTCTTTGTTTTCTGCTTCAATTTATTTTGATTGAGGCATTAAAATTCTTGTTTGTATACAAACAGCAAATGCAGAGCAATGATTAAGATGCTCAACCCCGGCTCCCGTCCCCTGGGCTCCTGCCTCCTGCCCCACCATTAACTCCTGCTCTTCAGCGTTCTTCTCTCACTCTTCCATACACCTGCTTACATACATACACACATACATATATGTATAAATATGTATAAATAATGCAGCTAATTTTCATTTAAATAATTTACAGGGGCTCTCTTTAATGTGATTATTTGTTTAATTGCATTTTAATATTGCTTCCGTACATCCGTTGCTTGCTTCCGCAACAGAGTGTGGCAGGATGTGTGCGTGTGTGTATGCATGTGTGTGTGTGTGTGTGTGCGAGTGTTGGCTAAGACATTAGCGCAGCAATTTGCCTAAGAAATTGACTCAATTTAATATTTAATGCACATATTTGTATGCACCAGACTCCACTTAAGCAGCAGAGTTGCATGCGAGACAGAGGGGGATGGCGAGAGGAGCAGAGAGCGAGAGGGGCGACAGTTGGTTTACCTATCAATTAGCATTTGCCGCATCTCTTTAGCTCAGCCAGGCCGACACATTTGCATGATTATGAGCGCAGTTCCGGCGAGCAGTTTACATAAGCAAATTACGCTTCGACTTTAATCAAACGCAAATCAATTTGATATCTATGTATCTATGTCTCTATGCGTCACTCAATCTCTGTCCCTCTGCATCTGCTGCTGCACTGCCATGCACTGCCATGCACTTTGCAGCTGCTCAATTGTTCGCTTGCATAATTGTCACAGTCGAACCTTAACTGTTGTTAATGAGTCGCGCGTAATGCAAATCGATGCCACACTTATTGCACACATACAGAGTATGCAAACAGTCGGATATGGGCAGTTAAAAAATATATATATTTATCTATATATATATTTATAAATTACTCTTGCAATACATCAGCTCCATTGTTATCCAATTGGATGAAGTGCAATTTTGATGACATCGCTCTAATTTTCAAGCAAGAAGCACAGCGAAGATATTTTATATCAAATTATATGCATATACATATGCATAAATAAATAAATATATATATATATCTACTTAGCTTATTTCACAATAAGAATATCCATTTAAATATCATCTCAAAGATATGTCGCTCCATCATTTCATATAAATTATGTTTGTTTGGGACTAGCTTTGAATGTCAGCGGGCAGCATTGGAAGTCGACATTTCATGTCCTTCGACGTGTCGGCATTCAAAAAGTGACAGAGATGGAGTGAAAGAGAGACGGAGAGAGAGGGGGAGTAGTGGGAGACCTTAAGTTATCTGACAATAACTACAGCAACTACATTCAACAAGTTCCTCATTCAACGAGTTCCTCAGACCCCAAAAACCCTTTTTGACCCGAACTGTAAAAAAAAAAAGACATGTTTGAGTAGGTTTTTGGCAGTGGCAGTGCGTGTTCTTGGCTTCATATACCCTGTAATCTGAACGGTGTTTAGGCGGGGGTAGCTGAGAGTGAAGGCAAGTAATAATGGGAGAAGGATGTGAATGTAAATCATGAAAAATGGATGGATGCACGGGGGAGATAGAGAATGGGATAGAAATAGAAAACGGAATATATATGCAGAATAAAAGAGAAAGAGAGAGAGAGAGAGAGAGAGATAGAGAAAGAGATAGAGAAAGAGAACGCTAAAAAGAGTTGTAGGAAAATGAATAGAATGAAAGACGTGGAAGAGAGTAAGGATGAGAGGATGAAAAATAGAGAGGGAGGAACTATAAAAAATATATATGAGAAAGAGTTAGAGAAACAGTCAAACACTGAAAAAGAGACTACGAGGGTGAGAGGCAGAGCGCTATCTCTCTGAG